ACAAGCACAATACACTAAAACACAATAAAACTGGGCCGGGCCAGAAAATGGGTGCGAAGATTAAAAGTGCTGATGTGACAGGAGGTGTATAGGGCTTCTAGGGCAAGTGCAATGTGCGATGTGCAGCAATCATTGGTTCTGATAAAGTGCTTATGGGACTTGGTGGTGGAGATTTCCTAATCTGGGAAGGCGCATCGGAAAAGCCAGGTCTTCAAGTTCTTTCTGAAGACAGCCAATGTAGGGGCCTGTCTAAGGTCTTTGGGGAGGGTGTTCCAGAGTTGGGGGGCCACCACGGAAAAGGCCCTGTCTTGTGTCCCCACCAAACGTGCTTGCGACGCAGGCGGGATCACGAGCAGGGCCTCTCCAGATGACCGAAGTGAACATGTGGGTTCGTAGATGGAAATGCGGTCACGCAGGTAGGCTGGTCCCAAACCGTTCAGGGTTTGGGACCATATATATTATTTCAATACTAAGGTATTATGTAAAAGAGTAACTGACAATGATGAAATCGTTTTATGGAAACAGAAAATTAAAAAATGCCATTCCATAACATTGTTAGATTTGTAAATTAAAATATTAATCTGTCAAAGAGTGTCACCTAGTTAGACTCTAGATAACATGCAGAGGAAGAAAAACTCCTCAGAATAGCAATGTTTTAATATTTTGTGTTTAATCATAATAACAGTCCACATAACTAAAAAAAGGAGGACTAAAACCTATATCTCATCATGCCATCCAAATAAATATTATATTATGACCAGCTTTATTTGTAAGCAGACTTACCTGAACTGCACAGCCAAGCAGAAGTAGAAGTAACTTTTTAACCTCTTCAGTGCCTTGTTCTGAAAATATTTTAAAACAATAACAAGTGCATATACTTTTAGATAAGAATGAAATAGTTTCTGCTTCTCTTTTCACTTATGTGCAACCAATTCATTCTCTATATTTTTTATTACTATTTCTCTGTGCAGGGTTTAATCAACATATAGGTATTAAACAAAAATATACTGCAAATCTAAAAACTGCATTGCTGGACCCTTAAGCTTACCTAGCACAGATTTCTATTTACACAGAGCGAAATCATATACCAATGGAAAAACCAAGAGCAGCATTTAAGTATGACAGTATATGCCTCATATTTCCAAGTGACCAATGTACAGAGGCACACAATCTCTGACATTGGGGGAAGAGAAAGGTTGGAGACAGTTATCTTCAAACCTGGTATGTATAGGGCCACATGAAAGTGTTGGAAATCGGAACCTTCTATTAGCCTCCTATTCCAGTTATTTGTTATGTATGTAATTGAGATTGCTCACTATATTGTATGTACATATTGGTATGCAGTTTTTCCCCTTAACTCTATGTTGTTTGAGGTTGTGGGAGGGACTACAGATCATGTGACCCAGATCTAGGATTATTCAGACTGAGACTCCATTTTAGAAATCAGTACAGTACAGTTTAGAGTTTGCATCAGAAGCAGTACAGTATAGTCAAGTCTTTACTGAGTCAATGTTCAGTAATGCATTAGACTGAAGAAAATGTTAGTCTGCAACAGAGGCTGAAACAGACTCTTTAGAGAACTTACTGTGTAAACTCAACCAGTAAGAAATGTACTGTATGATGAATACATGAAGTTTGTAAGTAAATCAACTATGTTAACTTTTAACGAAGACTACTTATTTTTGGTGTCTTGAGAGCATGATTTGAAAGTAATATATTTCATGGGAGAGTAGATTTTAACATTATATACATGTCTTTTCTTTTTTTCTGCCTTCATTTTGTGTACTCTAATAGAACAAGTCAGTAAATCAGTAAATCAATACATAATTAAAAGTATGGAATAGTAGGGATTAAAAACCCATTAAATGTGCCAAGAACTAGGACAGCAGTATATGATGAAGTCTATTGTTCTAAAGAATATGATCTGCCTGTAATTTTTGTGTAGCACTTTCCTCAACTGTTAGCTGTTTTCCAAGAAAGATGGTCCTTTGCAACCCGAAAGACAGTTGCATCTGTCAAGTAGGAAAATTAGGTACCACCTTAAATTGTGGGGAGGCTAAATTAACTAATTTATGAGGCCATAAAAAAGACTCCAGCAAAGCACTCCAGCAAAAAAGCATGCGGGGAATGCGGAAGTGCTTCATCAGCGTCGCAGATGGACGATGAAAGCGACAGCTCCCCTGGCGGCCAGAAAAAGTTAAATAGCCTCTGTGTATGTCTGTATATGTTGTATGTCAAAATTGGCATTGAATGTTTGCCATATATGTGTACACTGTAATCCACCCTGAGTCCCCTGCGGGGTGAGAAGGGCAGAATATAAATGCTGTAAATAAATAAACAAATAAATAAACATTAGTACCATAAGTGTTATGAATCTGTTTTTGTTCAGCTTTAGATTTGATTATTTGGGGTGCAGATTCAAGAATTGGCATTGGATAGACCACATCAGCTGTAGTCTCTGATACAGAACATATGCCATCCATTAGTCACCATTTGCTTGCCCACAGAAAACCATCTATATAAATAAAAATGTAATGTTCATTTGTGGGGTTAACATAACTCAAAAACCACTGGACGAATTGCCATCAATTTTGGCCACAAGACACCGACTAACCCAAGGAGTGACCATCACTCAAAAAAAAATTGAGTTCGGCATTTAGGAGTTGTAGTTGCTGGGATTTATAGTTAACCTACAATCAAAGAGCATTCTGAACTCCACCAATGATGGAGCTGAACTAAACGTGGCACACAGGACTCCCATGACCAACAGAAAATACTGAAAGGGTTTGGTGGGCATTGACCTTGAGTTTGGGAGTTGTAGTACACCTACATCCAGAGAGCACTGTGTACTCAAACAATGATGGATCTAGACCAAACTTGGCATGCATATTCCATATGCGCAACTAGGAACAAAGATGGAGCTTGGGGGAAATAGACCTTGACATTTGGGAGTTGTAGTTACTGGGATTTATAGTTCACCTACAATCAAAGAGCATTCTGAATTCCACCAATGATGGAACTGAACTAAATGTGGTACACAGGACTCCCATGACCAACAGAAAATACTGGAAGGGTTTGGTGGGCATTAACCTTCAGTTTGGGAGTTGTAGTACACCTACATCCAGAGAGCACTGTGGACTCAAACTATGATGGCTCTAGACCAAACTTGGCATGCATATTCCATATGCTCAACTAGGAACACAGATGGAGCTTGGGGAAAATAGACCTTGACATTTGGGAGTTGTAGTTACTGGGATTTATAGTTCACCTACAATCAAAGAGCATTGTGAACCCCACGAACGATAGAATTGGGGCAAACTTCCCACACCGAACCCCTATGACAAATAGAAAATACTTAAGGCCATCCAGTTCAACCCCCTTCACCAGGGCAAGAAAACTTAATCAAATACTGTTTACCCACAATCATAAAGAAATTACATATATTAGAAACCAACACTTTCTCATTACTTTATTTTCCAGATCAGACTGGGCCATAGCAACGCGTGGCAGGGGGTGGCTAGTATTTAATAATCTAGAACTGATGTGGTAGTAGCAGTATTTCCTGAGTAGTTAGCCTCTCCCCTCTCGACATCCCTGTTGCCTCGGCACTATAAAAGAGTTTCGTGAGACCAGTCACTCTCATTGCTGTGTGGCTTCAAGGCAATAGTGTAGTAATGGTGAAGCTGCAATAACAAATCTAATGTGCAGATTTGATAAATGTGGATTAAAAATGATATATGGAATGAATGGAAGAATGGAAGGATGTATGGATGAAGTTTATAATTTTGGAAGCACTAGTAAAATATTAAGGCCTCCAATGTGTAAATACCTTCTTGCTGGACTGTAATTAAAAGTTGCTAATAAGAACTGAAAAGTAAACTGATAAGAACTGGGACAGTGATTGTGACGGGGCGAGTGGCACCACCTATGTGTAGAACTGTTAGTTGCAAGATTTAAACTGTAGTATCATGCTTAATCCTGCCTTTTTACCCTGCTTATGTATAGTTGGATTGATTGGTTATTTATAGCTGTCAATCAGTGTTGTTTGCATCAGTTTAACTGCTCTTTCAGCTCAATTATTTGGCTCCACCTCTTCCTGGAGGAGGGGAGTGCTTCCCTTTTTCATTCTGCCATCAGAGTTTCTATCAGATGGACGTAAGAGACTTGGCTCTAAAAGCCCCTGATTAAATTACCTCTCAGCACCAATTCTGAAGTTTTTTACCCTTGAGACTTATGTTTCATGTACAGACCAACCTGAACGATGTTGGGACATCTCAAGCGCCTTCTCACCAGTTCTTCTGGCACCAGAGGAAGACCCTGTGTCTTCAAACATAGGCCATCTGGACTGGGGTTGTGAATTGCTCCGGCATTTACAGCCATTGAGAAAGAGGGACCTGGAAAAGCTTCTCAGCTTCAAGCCTTCTTGGACCCAAGGCAACCAGAGACTGTAATGTACATTTTCCTTCACCCTTTTGAAACTTCCAGCTTATTGCCTTAAAGAGATAACTCTTTGTGAACAATAAAACTTATTTTGAGTTATCTACAGTGTTTGGGTCTTTGAGAGTTCCAGTTTCCTAAAGGAGGGCAAGAAGCAATCCCCTGGGAAAAGATGTCACGTCCATGCCTCTTTCACTAAGAGCTATAGCCCCCAGGCATGACGGCACAGTGATAATAGAAATGTTTACAGTGTTAAGAAGAAAGTCAACATAAGATCAACACTAATCAAGAAGAATCAACATCTGGCCAGGAAACCAAGATGGAGCCAGGATGGAAGACATATATCATTAATTTACAACTTTGGGACTACATCAGCAGAATATAGTTGCATAGAATCTTTTTAATTTCTAATAAAACCTTAACATTTGGTAGATTTCTATTTACAACCAGTTTGCTGACTTTTGGGCTCTCCAGAGTTTTTGGACTACAAGACCTGTAGTTCCTAGTATTTGTGTATTGTGGTGTCACAGAACAGAACCATGTTTCTTATGTTGTTACTATACCTGGAGTTCTTCTAGTAATCCTTGTGTGTTGACTGTCAGGTTGACAGGATCCCAGTAATGATAGGTACAAATGTTTGTAAAGCCAGCAACATGGAATATACAACCAAGATTGCCTGAAAAAATAAAAGATTGGATGTCACTAGGGCTATTCTATAGGATTATCCCAGGTCCTAAGACCCAGTAATAGCCCTTAATGAAGTAAATATGCATATATACAAGAGTTATCCGTAAAGTAAGGTTACAAGGCACGTAACCTTTGTGGGGAATTTTCATGGGGGAAGTTGGTATCACTACTGTGTAGTGGGAAGCCAGCAAAAGTGAACGAGCAGTGTTAGTCGTCAGAAGCTCATCGACTGGCGCTGTGGTGAAGGTTAGAAATGAGTGTCCTCATTCTGTTTCTTGGGATTCTGCAGAAGGGTGGCTTCCTGTTAAAGTTTGCAGTTATAGGGCAGGCCCCCTGTCCATCATCGTTAAGTTTGGTTCCGCCCCTTGTTCAGGAACTGAGAAGGGAAGGGAGCCATTTTCAGTCAGTCTCAGCAAGGAAAGTCAATGTACAGGATGTGTACAGACTTCTCCTGTACAAAGGCTTCAACCCTTAAGACCTCCCGGGGGAGAACAGTCTTAAGAGCAAAAGGATTCCCAAGGATTCCCAGGGAAACAGCCCTAAAGCTCTGAGGAATTTCGGAGGGAAAAACAGCTTTGAATATCTAAGAACTCCAGCTGAAGTGACTACAGGCCTACTGGTAGGTCCACTAGGTGCTTTGAGACGCAGTTCAACCCGGTAGTGGCGCCCACATCAGTTAGGTTTAGGTTCACAGTTAGCCTGGGAGAAGTTTGGAAAGGGATTTTCCTTTAGAGTAAAAGTAACAGTTAGAAGCCACCAGTTGCACAAAAGCCTGGAAGCATTTGTTTAACCTTTTGAAGACAAAAGAAGTTTCTGTTGATTGTTCACCAATAAAAGACTTTGTTATATTTTACAAGCCCTCTAGAGACTGTTTATGGTGAAAATCCTTACGAATTTCTCTTCGGGCCCCCTGGCTTCCCACTGGGCT